GACAAGCTATGAAAAGGCCATGTGTCTTCAGCTACACAAATACAGTTGTTTTTGTTTTGTGGTGCCTCCTCCCCACCCCCTTCCTTCTAACATTTGAAATAATGGGGTAAGGGAAGTGAGAAATTAACCCTTTGAAGAACAGGCAAAAGATTTGGGATGGGCCTTCTGTTTTTCTTTCTTGTTCTGTGCTGGGGATTAACTCAGGGCTTTAGGCAAGCGTTCTACCCACTGAACTATACCCTAGTTCATGTAGAAAAACGAGAAGGTAGACTAGGGAGAGAGAAAGAATAGGTTCTAAAAACAGCAACTGAATGGATGGTTTGAATTTATAGTTGTCTCTGAAATTGTATTTGAATATCTTAATAATTTGTTACTTGAAGCCCATGTGAACAAAACACCATGGCCAAAGCCGTCTCCGAATTTGGAGGAAATAGCTAGGCTCTTTCAGACCACTGTGACTAAGTGCCCTGCTTATTCTGTCCCTTTCCGGTGATCAATCAGCATATTTCCTGAACCCCTACACATCACAGACCTGTAGCTGTGACTTGGATAGAAGGGACCCTGTGGTCTCCTCCAGGATACAAGCCTACAGTTTTCTTATGGGAACTCCTATGTAAAATGTTTTGACCCCAAACTTAATTAATCACAGAAGCATGTGCCCTTTTCATTTGGTAATGCTAGTAACCACCCCTCTTACCCTACTCATACTAGTGACTCAGGACATCGATGGGCATGAACTTCTGACATTTGTAATGGGTAACAATGGCATTCCTGCATTTCCTTAGCATTAGAGGCCTTGGATACCAAGAACTGGGCTTCCTAGCAATTTTAAAGCAGTTGCAAATCCTTAAGTAGGAAAACTGCCTTTAAAGTTACTAATAGCTTGGAACTATTTTATCTTTATTTTGTATTGATAGATGACATTCCAACTCCTTTCAGAGAAGCCTCTGTGCTTTTAAATGCGGTGTATATTACCCACTTTCCTAGTTTTGGCTCAGGCCAGCCCTGCACAATTGAGTTCAGAAACATCCATTCAGCAGAAGGAGTATTTTGCAGCACTCAAGGTTCTACAGCCCAGTATAAACAAATCCTGGCAGCACCAACTCCTTTGGCAATGTCTGGGGTTGGGGGGCAGGGAGGGCTGTGCCCAACATCGGACCCAAAGCTATGATCAAAATCAAAGCATAACTAGCATCTCTTAGGAGTTAAAAATGAAAGTTTATATCATGGAAATATGACAGCATTGTTATGTGATTTGGTTATGCATGATATTGTGTTACTGGGAGGTGTAGGAGGAAATCAATGGAAACAACAGGTTTGGCCACCATTATCCCAGGGACAGTATTGGAAAGGGCTGAGGGGCCGATGCAGGTGACCTCAAAAGGTCTAACACCAGTACGACAAAGAATGCCGTCAACCTGACAACGGGATAGAGATGTTCTGTCTAGTTTTAAAGATGCTTGGATGTCATTCCTAATGAACAATGTGGTATCACTTTTACTTTAGAGGTTTGGGGCTTCTGTGAGGGAGAACTTCCCAGGAGAACTCTCTGTGAGGCCAGAGATACCATACATTCCAGAAACATGGCGGTTCCTACCATGTACCACAGGTCTCCCTGCTGTTCTCTATCATTTTATGGACAACTGGGTGCTGGACAATGGACTAGGGATTTTCTTGTGCTAACTGGGTTCTCAATATGCTTTTAAGAAACATCTATTAGACACCATATAACAAGGAGGGGGAGGGAGAAACAGTTGATGAGGTTGGATGCTGCATTGTCTCCTTTGTGAATAAACATTAGCGTGGAAGGTCTGGCAAGTATTCACGAAAAGACAGAGCTGTCCTGTAACAGCAAGCATGTGAGGACATATTACAGGCAAGAGGACAGAAAGAAAAAGAAGGGAGACTAGCCAGCTGCCCCAATTTTTAGACCAGGGACTAAATTCCTCCACAGAGGGGCTACTATGAGGAGTCCTACCTGGTCTCTCATAGGTAGGGCTCCCTCCTCCCAGAATAAGCAATCAGGAGGGGCAGCAGGCAGCAACCTCCATGGGAGGACCATATCCATATATCCTAGAAATTCCCTTTGTGCACTGATGGCACACATCCTGTTCTGGTCCCTCCCTCTATTGTCCCAGCTGTTTTTCCTAAGTCATGAGGGTGGGTGTGGGGGATCCCCAAGGAGCCTCAACTGGCATTCACAAACATTTTTCAGGCTCAAACTTGTATGGCCTGGGAGAGGTTGACATGTTCCTTGGTCTCCTCGTGAGGCTTTTTCTGTGTTCCATGTTTCTTCTTACTTGGCAACATCAGAAAAGCCTGAGTGGCTGGAAGCCAGTGACTAGTACAACCCCCATGTGGCCTCAGCTGCTTCTCTCAATTTCTAAACATCTCATCCGGGTGCTACTCTAACATTTTTTTTATTTGTTTGTTTGTTTGTCTTTGGTTTCTCAAGACAGGGTTTCTCTGTGCAACAGCGCTGGCATCTTGGAACTAGCTAGAACTCATAGGGATCTGCCTGCCTCTGCCTACCAAATGCTGGGATTGAAGGCATGTGCCACCACTGCCTGGCTGTCATAACATTTTAAAAACACTTCAACATCTTGAGAAAATGATGCTTACACATTACATGTAGGCATGGATCAGCAGGAAGGTTTTCTTGTGATTTTTTTTTTAGTCCACTGGATTGGTGATTAATGTTAATCTGATGGCAGTATAGAAACGGATTGCGTTCTGGTTTTAAAGATGCTTAATGTCATTCCTGATGGTTATGTGGGGGTCAGTCTCCCCTTAGGAATGTCATCTACAGCTGCTGATAGGCATCTATCTGCCTCAGTATCTTAGAGGTATCTGCCTGGTATCTCAGAGATACCAGGGGCCCAGGAAGATGAACCAGGTCATAGGCTGAAAGTTATCTTGAACCATGTGCTCACTTTAGTCTCTTCTTAGCAACAAGAGTGGCCTTCAAAGCTCAGTCCCTGGACCAGTGGCAGCAGAGTGATCCCGGAACTGGGTAGAAATAGAAAATCATTCACACAGTCTTACAGAATCTTGTAGGATGAGAGGAAAACCAATGGTCATATTACACTCCTACAACCCTGAGCTAGGAGAAGCCAGAGTGGACCAAGGCTCGATTCTTAGTAACTAGATAAGGAGGCAGGTAAGATATATCCCGGCTCTTATCTGAGACTATTTAACAGGAATTAGGAAAATCACTGCATGCTGTATCTAAAAGACAAACAAGGTGTTGCATTTGGCTCTGCTTTGCCCATTCAATGGGAGGCTGGGAGGAGCGGGGAGGGGCTGCAACTCGAGATAGACCCTTTGGTTTTGAATGGTCTTGCCTAGATACAAAAAAGACAACATTTTCTACCGCCTTCCTTGAAAACTTCTAAGCCTCAGAAGTAGTGGCCATTTGGCACACCTTTTTTATGAAACAGTTTTGAAGAATTCCAGGCAGGGGCAAAGTTAAGAGGTCTGGCAGAGACAGGTCCAGCTTTTATGAGCCCGAGGCTTATATAATCTTGACAGTTCATTTAAGACAAACAATATACAGCATATTATATAGAGCTCATAAGCATATGAACATATTACTAGGTCTCTGAGCAGTAGGGTCATAGCCTGTCCAACATGGAGACCTGAGTTCACACTCCATCAGCCCCAGAGCAAACCTACTTTTCACTCCAGGCCCAGTGTACATACTCCTCTCCTTAGCTCTTTCAGGCTGAACTTCTGACTATGAGTGGACAATACCAACCCAGAAGCTAATACGAGTCAGCTCATCTTTTGTCATTCCCATTTCGGTTGTTACTGTTGTTTGCAGTCACTGTATATAGTTATAGAACTGGTCCTAGACAATAACAAGAGGTAGAGACTTCTTTTATTTTCCAAGCTCAGATTCAAGGTGACATGGCTCCTGTCCTAGTTACCTTTATCTGTCAACTTGACATAGCCCAGAGTCATCTGTCTGAGTCTCAAGTACAGGATTGCCCAGATCTGATTGGCCTGTGGTCATGTCTGTGTGAGACTGTGATGCAGAAGAGCTCCCTTCCTCCACTGTGGTTCACTCCTGGTGAGCCTGGGCTGCATGAGAAAGCTAGTTGAATAAGAGCCTGGGAGAGCAGGCCAGTAAGCCGTACTCCTCTGTGGTTTCTGGTTCAGTTCCTTCCTTGAGTTCTCACTCTGACTTCCCTCAGTGATGAACTCTTAGCTGCAAGTGCAAGATGAAATAAACCCTTTTCCCCCCAAGTTGCTTTTGGTCATGATGTTTATCACAGCAATCAAATGAACAGCCACCTAAATTAATTGGGTTTTAAACGCTAAGTCACACTTGGCTCACATTTCCAAACAATTGCTGTCTTTTTCTGCTTCGGCCCTCCGTAAACCCATGCCTCTTTTTGCCATTTAAGCAGACAGAGTTCCCACCCAGAGCCTTGTGTGTACTAAGCAAGCACTCTACCAATGATCTACTTCCTTGATCTCCATTCTTGAAGCCAAGATAATTTTGATATGGCCCTCCTAATCATTAGTGGTAAAGCGACCTGTCTGATGCTCACAAAAAGAGACAGTGGAACCACGTGGTGACACAAGGTACTCATCCAGCCATATCTTGTGACAACGTGTCTCTCCTTTTCTCATTTACCTTTTAAAGCCCCAGATGTCTCCTGGGAAGCAGAATGTAGCAGTTTGTACAGTCCTGGTACAGTCCTCCTCTTAAGAACACACAATTAAACCCTGATAACAGTTACCCATTATACCAGTCAGCATTCTAAAAAGCCCTGTGAGGTACCTGCAGAGACTGACAATTTGTCCCACACTGTGAAGTTATACTGACCTCCCTCTGCCCCTTTGGATAACTTGGGAAACTTCTTAAGACACACACGAGGCTCCAAAATTTGGTCTGGGAACTAAAGCAACGTCTGGGCAGCATGCCCATTGGCTTCCCAGGCATGGTGTCCCCTCCATCCCTGGGTGGAAGGTGTCTAGCATGCAGGCCCTACCTGAGGACAGCAGGCTCCCACTGCTGCCGCTAATGATTTTCCCTTTGCTCCCCATGTTGGCCAGCTTCGAGGTCTTCAGTGTCCCTGTTTCTGTTAGGTCAATGGCGATCTCACTCAGACTTCGTGCTGCATGGATCTTGGACTGGAAAGGAAAGCAGAGCAGGTTATGGAAGGGACAGAGACCACTGGCCTACTTGTAGTCCTGAAGTCAGGTGGCTCTCATAAGCTTCACAAACTGGAACTCACAGCCCAGGGTTCCATAGGCTATAGAGTGGAGTGTGAAGAGTGTGGTTTTTGGAGTTTATATTCTGGGAAAAGTATTTAATCTCATTGAGTCTTATTATTCCCAAATATAAACCAGGGAAGTTACCACCTACCACAGAGGGGTGAGCTGGAGTCAAAGGAACTTGCTGTGTGTAAGACATTCCCTTCCTTCCCCCTAATTCCTCCCCTCCTCTCCTTTCTTCTCTGATTGACACAGAAACAAATAGAAAATTATGCCAGGTCAATAATCCTAGCTACTTAGGGTTGGGAATGGCAGTACAGGTGGGGCAAGGAGATTTTAAATTCATAGACTGTTTGGTCCAAAGAGCAAGTTCAAAGCCAGCTTGGACAATTTAGTGAAGGACCCATTCTCAACATAAAAAAATAGAATAAGTAGGTATAGCTCAATGGTAGAACACTTCTCTGGTATGTACAAGATCCTAGCTTCAACCCCTAGCACGCACATGTGCACATTCGAACAGGCACAGGTACACACATAGCTGTGACTATACTTATTTTATGCTTACACAAGGAAGAGAAAATAAATTTTTAGCTTTTTGAATGACATGAGATTTGTGAAATAAACTCATGCAATATCAATAAATTCAGAAATTCTTAAATATCTTCAGTTATTACTTATGTGACCAGGGAAAGAATTGCTTCAATTCTTATTAAGTCTGTGAAGGATCCAAAGTCTTCATATTGGAGTCCAAACTCCACTCCATTTTGTGTTCAGGTCAGCTGACCCATCGAGCTTATAGTCAAAGGTGAGGAGAATCTCAGAACGGTTTTGCTTTGTGTTTACAATTATATCCCTAAAAGTGATCGCTTCTTCAGTAAGGCTATCTGCTTTATTTAGTTATACCTTTGGCAATGTGGAAGTGTGCTGTATTTTCTTCCTACAGACATTATTTGTCATTTTGCAATGTGTTGCTTTTGTTTTATAAATCTACTTTTTAATGATACCATAAGCATCTCAAAAGCCACTACAAATGATAGAGCACACACTGACTCTCTATGGTGTAGTTGGGTGAGCTCAATGGGTGGCTGCTGCAGGAGAGCAAATCCTTCCACACCCACAAGGCTCCAGACAGATTCTGAGGGCTTTGGAGAGGCCGGCACACCACAGTCCCCTCTTCCTGGTTTACAGGCTTCCTCCTTTGCCCAGGGGCTGTTATTTGTCCCACGAAAGCTATCTGGATCCTTAAGGCCTTGCCCTTCCTCTGGCCTCAGATGTTGTTGCCTATTGCTGATGAAGAACAGTGACTTCCGGTCCCTGCGTGCTTTCCCCCTCTTAGCAAATGAGCGTCTTTGGCCAGAAGAAACACTGAGACTTTTGCTTTTGTTTTGTTCACCTGATGTGAACTGTCTTCCTCTTCCCCTCCTTCTCTGCCATTCGTACTTTGACTTGGGTCTCCTTCCCAACCTCCTGTTTCTTCCTTACGGACAGAACCAGGTTAGGTTAGACTTCCTCAGGTTAGGGCCCCCTTGTTCATAAACAAGTGCAGCTGCCAGGCCTGGCAGTCTTTGGCTGCTGCAGGAAGCAGGAAGGGCTTTCTGTTTCATGAGGACTCTATATATCTACAGCACCCATCTGGCTGTGCTTTATCCTTCAGGCAAGCAGAGTGCACACACTCCATCACTACCTCTCTTTCTGCCCTGCACTTTACCAAGTCCTGTGTTTCCACAGAAGAAGCCCACACTTAACAGCTACAGAGCAGCAACTCATCTAGCTCAGATAGCACAGTGGCGAGGGCCCAGAGCTCCTCCTGATCAGCCACTGTTAGACTTTGATCTTTGACCTCCCAAATCCTCAGATGCCTGTTTATAACATGGGGATCTTAAAGCCCATATCACAGAGCTGGGATGAGGACCACAGCAGATACTATATGTCAAGGCCTCTGCAGTAGGAGTGGCATATAATAGGACCTGGATGTAATTTGTGAATGAGGTTAGATGGCTGGCTCTACTAGACATTTTAAAGATCCCATTAATCACATGGAGAACCTGTCTTTCAAATGAGCCCCCTCTTTCCTGCTTAGACATCGACCCCAGAGGCAGGAAACAAAAATACAGAAGCTGGAACAACAGATAGCCTTTTCCTAATGTAGTCTAGATTCTTGTAACTTTAAGAACTTTCTGGAATGGGCCTATCACAATGTCCCAACAGATTGCTTATGGGATGAGAACCAAGAAGAAATATAATTAATAGTCCCAGGAGATTCCCTTCTCGAAATGTTAGGTCTCTGGGCCAGCCCTCTGGTCCCTAAACATCCCAAATGACCACTCTGTGTCAGTACGGGGTTCTGTGAATGAGTCTTTTAATTTGCTCTATCATGCTGTTGATTTTAGGAATAAATAGATTGGATGAGGAAAGGAGGAAAAGTAGTGATTAGGGAGGAAAGATGTCTGCACTGAGGCTTAACTCCAGAGAGCACCACTCTAGGGTCAGAGGAAAACATCCATTAGTTCCTCTGAACATACTTGCTCCTGAAGTCTGAAAGTCAGTCTTTGGCTCCAGGATGCAGAGGTCACTGGATGCTTTTGATAGCACTTCTCAACTTCAGTAACAACAGACATAAATGATCAATTATAACTGATGTCTGCAGAGCTTCTTACACTCAATGAACTGCAGGGAATCAACTGTCTTCCACTCTGTTTTTGATGGTGGAAGTTTTCCTTCATGTGCATGTTTGAGAAGTTGATAGGAATGCTCTCTCTCTTCTCTTCTCTCCTCTCTCTCTCTCTCTCTCTCTCTCTCTCTCTCTCTCTCTCTCTTTCTCTCTCTCTCCTTCTTTCTTTCTGACAGGGTTTCTCTGTGTAGCTCTGGCTGTTCTGGAAGTCGCTCTGTAGACAAGGCTGGCCTCGAACTCACAGATCTGCCTGCCTCTGCCCCCCAAGTGCTGGGATTAAAGGCGTGTGTCACCCCTGGGAGGTTTCTTAAATGATTTGCACAATGGCCCGGAGGTACTCTGGGTGTCAGTGAGGAGGTATGTGAGCTGTCTTGGCTACTGCCCTCGCTGACTCAAACCACTAGACTGTACTTGTTTCTCTGGCTTGATAAACATTACTTGGGAGGCCTGAACTGTGCTGGGAGCCCTTCAGAGAAAGGAATGGTTGGCATGGCCCCATACAGTAGAATGTGAAGCCCTGCCAGGATGCCAGCCCACACTGGCTGTCCAGAAATATGTGAAGCTTTCTATCCCAGGCCTGTTGACAATCACTCACAGAGTCCATGCTGCCCACCAAAGATGGGTCACATGACATCCCAGAAATGAACTGTGTTGCAAAGTAACTCCTCCTGAGTGTTTCACTATTTCGGATGTAATGTGGGGTCTTCTCAGAGAGTTTAACTTGATGCAGCACTGAACAGCGGACTGTGTTAGCTTAACCATGATGTTAATAAAACACAAATTTCCTAAAATAAAACACATATTTCCTAAAGCAGTTTCACAAACACTGTGTCATTTCACCAACTATAAATCTGGGTCAGGAAGTTCCTTTTCTGTTCTCTAATTGAGGAAAGCAAAGTGCATGTGATAAGAAGCCTACCCAAGGTCACAGAGCTGGGAAATAGTTGTCTGACATCCAGACAGAGGAACTTGGTCTTCACCTGTCTGTAAGGTTAAACGTTTGGCTCCTAGGTTACATGTAGAGCTGAGAACAAATTCAGTGGTAGAATACTTGCTTAGGAATAAGTCCTAGGTTCAATTCCTAGTACCACAAGAAAACAAACTTGGTTTTGGGGTTTTTTTTTTTTTTTTTGCCTGATATATATTTAGGCCTCTGGGACATTTGCAGCCATGTAAAGATCCCTGGGTAAAATTCTATTCCCCTTGGGAGTTTGATATTTTCATTTGTCCTTCAGAGTTTCTAAGAAGGACAGCTAAGAGCTTCTTCATGCTTTTGGCCTTTGGTTTTGCTTCTTCTTCCTTTTTTTTTTTTTTTTTTTTTTTTTTTTTTTTTTGAGGCAGCGTCTCATTAAGTAAGTTGCCTTGGCTAGCCTGGAACTCTCTATATAGATTAGGCTAGCCCTGAAGCAGCAATCTCCCTGTCTTATAGGTGTAGGCCACCTCCAGTAGCTGGGTTTGTCTCTCTTTTAAAAAAAATAATTTATTTTTATTATGTGTATTAGTATGTTGCCTGCATGTATGTCTGTGAGGGTGTCAGTCCCCCTGGAAGTAGAGTTATAGACAGTTATGGCCTACCATGTGGGTGCTGGGAATTGAACCTGAGCCCTTTGAGAGCAGCCAGTGCTCCTAACCACTGAGCCATCTCTCCAGCCCTGGGTTTGTTTCTTAGCCAATGCTTCCTGATCGGTGATCATTTTTCCCTGAGCTTCTTGCTGTATCCTGGACCAACTGGAAGTCTGCTGATAAGGCTTCTCAGAGGCAAATGTGTTTTATTTTTTATTTTATTGTTTTGCAAAGAACCCTAAGAATAGGTTACTTGAAATACCCAGGAAACTGAAGAAGAAGAAAAAAAAAAAAAAAAAAAAAAAAAAAAACAACCATGGGGAGAAGAGCCCCAAGTCGCTGACACTGCACTGTCCTGTGGGTGAAAATGGCTACTTCCTCTCCCCATTGCAGACCATGGTATTAGAGTGTGGAGGTAGGTTAGGGTTCTGCCTTCAAGAGTCAGTGACAGTGGGATCAGGGGAAAAATGTTAAACCTTTCGACCATTGCTACCCACCAGCAAGCAACACAGGATGAAATCAATGTTTGAGGGTGTTGACCTCCAACTCCTCCACTGGAGAGCAGGGCACCAGTCCCCACCCACTGTCTCCACATCTAACATGAGTCAAACCCCTGTGGCCTGTTTCTTTTGATCTAATCAAGCTTCAAAGGCCTGTGCCAAGGCACATCGTCACTAAAGGAGTGTGGAATACTCTCATGATTTCCAGCCACAAGAATACCATCTCCCCAGGACTCAGTCACCCCAAAAGTGACTACATAAAGAAGTCAGGAAGACTCAGAAAATGGAATCGATACTTTGCAATGCAGACAGTGGCTGTGACATGGGACAGAACCATTTGGGACTGAACTGGGGCAGGAGGGTGGCTTCATTTCTGCCATTTCCTTCCACTATCTTGTGCTTAGCTCACTTGCAGCTCCCACTTTCTCCTTGGGGGAGGGTGGAGGGGAAACCCACAATAAAGGGACAAAGAGCCAAGAGGTCACTAGCCCAATGATCTTGATCCATTTAAAGGCCACTGGCCCCTGAGAACACACACAGGGGAAGGCCACACAGCTGAGCTTGCTCAGTGCTCCCATCACCTGAGACCTGTAGAATCCTAACACAAATATACAGCCCCCTCAGGGGCCTTCTGTGATACCTTGAATGGGAGTGGCCCATGGGGTCCCTGGAAGAGGAGGAAGGGAGGCCAGGTGGAGGAAGAGAGAGGCCAGAGTGTTGCTATAAGCTGTGTGTGAACCAAGAGCTCGTCATTCTCCCACCCACCAGAAGGCACAGCTGGCTGTCTGGGCTGGGGGTGGATGAACCTCTTAGGCCGGGAGATGGCAGTTTCCCAACGCCCCAGGCTCCAGGTCTACCTGAGGGAAACGGGGCTGGTGCTGCTTTTGTTTTGTTTTCCTTTTCACTTTTCCAGTTTTACATTTTTAAAAAAGAGTTGGCAGTTGGAAAACCCTGAAGGGCTTTTCACAGCAATTTCCCTAAATGGTGGGGGTAGTTATGTCTATTTGCTGAGAACGGTTATCTGCCTACCCCCCACGACCAAGAAAACAACATACCACTGTTTAAGCATCAATAAGAGTTTGAGAGTTCACTCCTAAGAGAGTCTCTAGAGCCCCCAAAAGTATGCTCAGAATTCCTCCTGAGGCCCCTTTGTGGCTGTACCTGAGGCTTGAACACTTCTGGTGGTGGCTGGGCTGGAGCCCCTGACAAGTAGCATCCAGCATGGCCTCTTAATGATTTGTTGGCACTCCTCCTATCTGCAGCCCTAAGACGCAAGCCCTTACCCCAGTAGGTCTCAGGCCAAGGACACAGGCCTTTCTTCCCCGCCACCTAATTCCCATCCCTAACTGCCTTGAGGTCCAGTTAGCTGCCTGGTGGAAGGCCACTTACCTTACTTTGTTTTCTGTCCAGATAGAACTGATGTTGGCTAATCGCCATCGCCCAAATGGACTTGATTAATGCTGGACATGCATACCACGTGTGCACAGCAATGCCACTGTGCCCAAAAGTCCTCCTGGTCACGGAAGCCCTGGAAAAACAAGAATCACAGGCTTCACTCAGTCTCTGTGATGGGGAGAAGCTATTCATCAAATAGCTTTAAATGAGAGCCCGGGGACATGAAAGGGACAGAGGAGCTCACACAGAAACACACACATACAGGTACATACACTGATGTATTCACATGGCCATGCCCTGTACAGGAGCTGACTCCTCAAGCTCTAGCTCTAGGATAAGACAGGTCATTCTAGGTCACTTGATGGTCCTTTTTGATCTTCAGCTCCTGGCATGGAGCCAAGACAAATCTCAGAGCCAGGAAAAGCCTTTGACAATACTTTCTTAGCCAGGCAGTACTGCCTATGGCGAAGATGGGTGATTTCTTTCCTCCTCTCCACAGGCATGAATACCCCCTATATCACAGGACTTCCTGCATTGCTCTAACTGAAAAGATGTTCCCCGAAAGGTGTAGTTAACCGGTACAGATCTGTTCCCAGAGCATAAAGGTACTTAAGAAACCAGGAGAGGGAAAGAGGAGCCAGCCACTCCCCTAAACTCTGTGTGTACACTTGCAATTCTAATTGGAGTACATATGGAGTAGAGAGAGGTAATTGGAGTTTAAAAATAAAAATGGGAAATATCAGTCTCAACACGTTGATAGTGTTGGGGGCAGAGGAATAAAAATTTATAGGACCACAGTCTCAGTGAAGTATTTTTTATAGGATACATGGATTAAATCTGAGAACAGGGCCAGAGAGGTGACTTGTTGCCAAGCCTGGCAATCTGAGGTTGACCCTTTGGAGCCACATGATATAAGGAGAGAAATGACTCCTGCACGAGGGCAACACATATGCACATATACACAAATAACTGTAACATTAGATATTTTAATTTTAGATATTTTTAAATCTGAGAACAAATGAAAGTATTTGTGGGCGGGGGGAGACGAGGGAGGGATGAGAAAGTTGAATGGGGCTGGGAAGATGACTCAGTGGACAAAGCACTTAAACCTACACAATATGGGGACTTGAGTTTGGATCCCTAGCAGCCCTGTTAAGTTGGATGCGTGCCATGTGCATTTGCAATCCCGGTGCTCTTTGGTGGAAAGCTGAGATAGGACAATGACTGCGAAAGCTTTTGTGCCAGCTAGCGTGGCATGAGTAGCAAAGAACACAAGACCTGTCTCAAGCAAGGTGGAAATTGAGGGCCTCTGACCTCCACATGTGTGCTGTGGCCCTTATTCACAAACACATCATGTATACCAAAGAATAAGGGGGGGGCAGTGATGGCAGGCTGGGGTGTAACTAGGGCACTTGATCTGTGTGTCAGAAGAAATATCAACAGTTTTAGAAAGAAAATATCTAATTTGGAAGAACTATAGACTCATCTGGATTTATGAATAATAATAATAGCATTTTTTTCCAAGCCCATTTTCCTTTAAAATTTAAAGCTGGTCTTATTGTCTTGGTCTTTAAGTTAAAGATTTAACAGGGAGGATTTGGTGATTCGAAACCTGATGCTAGGTAGATTGGGTGCCCTTAACCCCCAATTTGGTTCAAACAAAAGGAAGAAAAGTATCAGTGAGTAGAACAGCTCTGTGGAGAGAAACTGGGAAAAGGGGGCAGCAAGAGAGTGAGGAGGGTGTGTCCCTGCCCCCAGCCTCTGGGGAGTCACAGTAGCTGTCATCTGAACTCCTAGTTTGTCTGGGAGTAAATGAAAAAAAAATTTTTTTCCAGGAAAGCTAAAGTAGCTAGAAAAAAAAAAAAAAAACTTGAAATGTATGTTTGTAAAGGTAGGGAGGGTTGTAAAAATCCAGACGCTACAACTTTCCAGGTAACATGAGTAAGGAAGGCTTAAGTGGTTCATTGGGTCTGGGAAGTCAGTTTCATGGGAACATCTATATCAGATACTCTTGGGGTTTTCTCCTGCTCCATTAGGAACTTATCTCCTCTGCTCATCTCTCTTCTCAGCCCTCCCCACCTCACCGTCTGCTTCGCCTAAACCTCAGCAATGGATCAGTGTTTGCTAAATCTAGAGAATGATAGAAGCAAGGGTAGGTTAGAACTGGGTAAATAGGGGAGTAGAGGCCACCACAGATCCTGTGTCCCATGGGGCAGGCACACTAGGGGAAGGTGGGGATTATATCTGTCCCATTCCACCCAGAAAGCAGCCTCGGCCCCAAGTGATATCCCTGTCATGGTGGACTTGGGGTTGCTTTTCCTCAAGGGAAGATGGTCAAACTGCCATTTTAGGGCTTTTCCATCCACATGATCCCTTCCCTTCTCTGATCACCTCAGTTGTCCATACCCCTGAGGGCCCACCTCCTAGAAACCCCATGGATTTCAGATCTCTCCTCAGGAAGCTCTACCTGACCAGCTGGGCCTTCGATGTTCACATCATTCATCACTTTGGTTTGTACCACTTGGCACCCAGTACACCCTGCCTGGCACACAGTGTAGCACTAAAGTTCATAAGCTCTGGCCTCAGACTTCTAGGGGTTCAAATCCAGCCTGTGCCCCACACTAGCTATCCACAGTCCATTCCTGAACCTTGACTTATTTCCCAGATCATAGTGAGGATCCAGGGAGCAAATGTGTGTTAGTATCAAAACAGTGCCTATACCTGGCAAATCCCATCAATTACTTCTTTTACCACTCTGCTAACAGCTCCTAATGGAAGGGGATACTGACTCAGCTTTCCATTTGTAACCATTCACAACTAACATAAAAGAACACAGAAGTTCTCAAGATATGTCTGAGATGGATCACATTTGCTAAATAAGCCAAAAGCCCACTACATGATAATATATGATGTTAGATCTCTTTTCCATATCCCTAGGCTGTGGTAAAGTGAGAAAAATTAGTAATTATATCACTAATGAGATCGCAGACACAGAAGGGACATACATATGTGCATATCACACACACACACACACACACACACACACACACACACACACACACTCAGGAGAAGGATTTACCCCAGGTACAAGCAGAACACAGGCATGGAGACTGTCTATTTCCTGTGCTCAGGCCCATAGGTGGCCCATCTTTTTATTTAACTCTTGCTCTGTCAAGCATCCCCTTTCTGTCTATGATTCACAGTGTAGAATTCATTTCACCCTTTTTTGCGCTTAGGTTTCCTTTTTCTGCACATGTCTCTGAATCTTAGTCTGGCATAAGTTCACCTGGAAAAATAGCAGTGAGTTTCTCCCTGGCTGGATTATTATTTTTGGCATCCACCTGCCCCTCCTTGGCCTGTGCAGATGGATTGTGCTCTGTGGAGGAGGGTCCTTAAACCATGAAATGCATCCCAGGGTCCTGAGAACCACCAAACAAGCCATCCTTCTGCTTAATAGTACCCTCTGCAACTGAATGCAGACTCAGAAACTCTAGAACCTTCTGTCCTCCAGCTGCTTGTCTCATAGTAAGTAAGGGGCAGGGATAAACTCTCACCTACAGGAGGGAGGCTGTTCCACGTAGATTACAAGGAGGTACACAACGCAGCTGGGTTATCAGCAGCAGCAGGCACAGAGGCTTCTGCACAAACCTCTGCCTTCTCCTTGGAGGCAGTATCTTATCCCAAGTCCTGTCCCGAGCACCCTGGAGGGCCCAGCTGCTTGTCTGTATGCTAGGTAGGGCTGCTTGCCAGCACTTCCTCCTAAGTCCAGGGATGATTTATCAACACCTGAAACTCACTGTGACTTCTCAAGCCCATCTGATCTATTTAGTGTCTTTCCAGACCTGCCTCCTTGTCATATACATCTGGACTTACAGACAGCAATTTATTCCTAGGTGCCAGGAATGGCATAGGGGATGCTGCTGCTGGCTATGGGCTGCCTGCAACTTTAGGATTGCCAGCAGACAAAGGATTGCCAGTAGAGGGTAGAGGGTGCCCAGACTCCTTCCCTGCAAGGTTCTCTGCATTCCACACTGGGACCCTATTGTCTGGCATCCATCCAGCTTGAAACACAGGTTTTTAAGGCTGATGTTCTCAGGGGTATGATGTAGGAAGAAGGAAAAAGAATTGCTTTTATTTCTTATCCACCCACAATACTAACATCCAAAAATCAGGCTCCCTGATCAAAATCAATGAACCTAACCACTTTGGTGACAGATGCCTTTCAGTGTCCACTGTCCTTCCTGAAATAGGCTCAGCACCTCCAGCAAGGACGTCTTTGGTCTCCTGTCTATTACAAGGCCACTGCCCCCATGTAACTCAATGTTGTTCCAAAGTGCCACAATGCTTCCTCCGGCATCACACACACAGCAACATGTAGCTAGATGAAATGATCACAGAATTGCTACACACACACACACACACACACACACACACACACACACACAGACACATGCTGCATTTATCAACACAAGCTTTACTGTCTAATGGGAACGCTGCTGTGCTCTCCACGATTCACCATTCTCTCCCCTCACCCCAAACTGGTCATGAACATTAGCCATCTCCACAACACAAAACTGAAACACAAATAGCATGCCACACACTCTTAAAAGAAAAAGGCTTTTCAGACTTACCTACGGGGGTCATGAACTTCCACGGAAAACTTCTTTTCCCTGAAATAGAGATTCTCCAACTGTCTCCATTGAAATATCTGGACGGAAAACAACGCAGTTTAAATTCAGGAGCGGTGAGTTCCCTGGTCTCCGTCCCTTCTTTGCTGATTAACTTTTTCAACAGCTGAGAGTTTCCTTATCATAGCAGAGACCTTACAGTTGTTGGTGCCTCCTCTGGGTAGCCTGCCAACTACTAGTGCTAGAAACACACACACACACACACACACACACACACACACACACACACACACTCACACACCAGTGAGTGTGGATTTTTCCTGCAAGTTCCTTAACAGGAACAAAACAAGTTCTTTTTCAAGTTTGTTCCCCTTTGGCTCGTGCCTTTGTTGAATTCTCCAAGACAGTTCCCAGCTCGCAGACTTTTCCCTCCAAGGAGAGGGAGAGGCGATGGGGGCGGGGAGATGAGAGGAGGGAGGAGAGGATCGGAGCCGGGAACACAGCAGGCTCAGGAGGGAGCGGTAGCCATCTGTGCACGCGGAGGGCTGAGCAGTGAGCGCTTCCTCCCCTCGAGTGCTGAAATGGGAAGGCGTTCAAATTCCCAGCCTCCCTTCGGGACTCCACTTCCTGCCGCTAATGTGCAAGAGCCTCAGACATCCTCACTCGCTGGAGGGCAGAGATTGTTGCGACCATAGATGGGGGCAGGCGACTCGTGATCACAGAGTGTGCTTGTCAAGCTTTTATTTTTTTGTTTCTTTTTGTTTTTTTTTTTTTTTTCCTCAGCACAAAGAGGGGGAAAGCAAGAGTTCCTCACTGTAGGGATACCACAGTCTTGCCTTGCCAGCAAGAGAAGGTCTAGGGAATCCTAGGAGTGAAAAAAGTTGATCTTGAGGTTGGGAGGCAATTAGGGCTGCTTCCAATTGCTCTAGGAGTAGGGTGCCTTTTTCTGGATGAAAGTAAAAGTTACTTAGCGATCTAGGGAATGCCACCAGAGGCTAAACTGTGCTCACGAGTTTGCATTTATTATGTTCACGGAGCTTTCTTTTCCTTCTGTACACTTAGAATGTGAATTTCTTTTGATCAAAGCAGGGTACCTGATCTTGTCCTTCCCTGTGAGATTTTCCCCTGCAATCTTGTTTGTCTACTCCATATGAGGACATAGCTTTTTAGGTTTTGTTTCAGACTGAGTCCCCAGCTCCCTATTACAGACAGCATCCACCTTTCAGATGGGAAGACCATTTCCTTGTGTTCCATAAGCCCTGTTTTCCCCAGGCTCAGAATGCAGTTAGTCAATACTTGGCCAGTGGACTTACCACCCAAGTAAAACTGGGCTGCAGTTAAAAACCGGTTTCTAGAGTGGCTGCATTCTTTTATCTTCACACTCTCCTCAGTGGAATTCTAAAATTTTTTTGTCTGCATGGGTAACCGGAAGGGTGAGGAGGAACTATTGAAGCTTACTAAGGGACCACTTCTTCGTCCACAGTGCATTTCACTCTGAAGCCAGAGACTGGAGACTTTTCTGTCTCTCTGAAACCAGTTTCAAGTGAGTAGAGAGACATTGCAAGTGAAGCAAACTACCTAAAGTCTTGCATTGGCTCTGACCATCCTGCCTTAGTCACTTAAACATACAGAACTATGTCATAGGCAATGGGTGCTCTGCCTCCATGAATGAGTCTGTGATACCCACTTGTTGGGTATAGATATCTCACCTACAGATAAATCTACCTCAACCATATAAACACTAGAACTACTCGACTCTATGACTTTGGCCTTACACATAACCTGCCATACTATAGAATGCCATGGCAAGACCCAGACTTCAGAGTCTGAAGTCTCTGTTTAAATCTAGGCTCCCCGCCTTCCAACTCACTAGCCTTTAACTTGTAGCCATCCCCTTAGCATAAGTTTTCCCAGTTGTAAAATGTTAAGAATGGCCCCGGGTAAGATCGATCTTAACAGCAGCAGATCCTGAACTCAGCAATGGTGCAAATAAGAAGACAATAAATGTGGATCTCATTGTGTTTTCCTTATGCTCTTAGTGTTCCCAGATTCTAGCAAATGAGAGAATAGCTGCCCAGCCACCAGAGTTCTTTTCTTAAATTTCCCAAGTCTTGACTTGGAGCTTAAAAAATTAAATGAGATTATGTGTGTGCTGGAAATTTTACAGTAAGTATAAAGGTCCCCCCTCCCTCTAAAGGATGTTCTTCTCAGACTCTACCCTACATCCACCCTGGCCAAGCAAAGTGGACCCTTGTACAGCGATGGCTTCGTGGATGTGTGACTAAAGTGTCTCTTGCTCAAGAGGGTCATGCACCTGCTGTTGCCTTCTTGAAATTTTCAATGTGTTTTCATCTATTTTGCATGGACCATACAGATGATGGTCCTGGTCTCAGTAGCATAGAGTGGGAGTGGGAGCTAGGAGCCCCATCTGCATCTGATGTACAGACCAGAGAAGGTAGACCCCTTCCAGGAGGAAAAGAAGCTACACCTGGCGTGAACACTCAGGAGAAAGCTCCACTTGTGCCTTTTTTGGAAGTGCCTCCAGGCCTGATGAAGAATCCTGGAGCACAATGCTCTGAGGGTCGGTTTCCTGGCAACTTCTTCTTCCCCAGCTCCTTGCAAAAATATAAAACACAAACCATGCTTTTCCTCTAAGTGGTCCCTGATGCTGTGCAGTGTGGAGTTCTGTGTGTCTGCCAAAGGGCCCAAACAAAACCATCTGGGCTTGCTGCGGCCCCTCATCTTAGCCAGGGTGGCTGCCCAGGGAAAAGGGAGGGGCCTCTGCCTTGGTGCTGCTCTGGAGGCTGAACCCTGGAGTCCTGATTCCCAGGGTGCATTCCTGGGGTGATGTATTTTCTGTAGAAATTTTGTAGCAGGGGCAGAACAGTGGATTCCCTGATAGCTGTTTTAGCACAATGTTATTTTGTTTTTTTTATTTTGCAAATTAAATACTGGGATGGAAATGTGGGAGTAGAAAAAAAAATGAGTGGGTAGTTTTTCTAGACCTGATAGCTGCTTGGGGACATAAGAAGAATCCTGAAGGAATGGATGAAAACACACACACACAGGCAGCAGAGACTGGCTATTGCTTTTTCCTCCCTTAAGAAGGGGGTGGAACTAGGGAGCCAGCAGGCTGCTGGTGTTTAGGGTGGGGGGAGTTGGAAGGCTGTAGGGGTGGATAGGGAAGGGGCAGCTGTTGCTGGCAGCAGGGCTGGGTGTCATTGCAGCTGAAGGCACTAATGATCTTTGTGGGGGTCTGTGGCATTTTTGTTCCTGTGTATTAGAGCCGCTGGCTGCTCAACTCTCAGCTTTAAGGCTGGTGCAGAGAAAAACAATAAGGAAATAAGCAAAGGGAAGACACCTGATTTCATGTCCCCCTGTAAATAGGGAGGGCTGAGCTATTACTATCCTTGGGGCCACTCCAGAGGAGCCTCCATGACCTGGTTTTCAGAGATCCAAACTATTCCCATAAAGTCATCAGTGGGATTTGAGACCCCACACAAAGACACACCAGACTTTTGATAACTATGACGAATACTGGGCTAGATCCCTATGGACTCCAACTACTTCCTGTGGCCAGTTATGTATCCAAGGAGTTCATTATAAGCTCAACAATGTAGTTCTATCAATAATCAGAAATTCTATTGATTAATACCTGCTAAATCAAGGCACTTCAGCTAGTCATCTCCACAAAGCTCCACAGACATGGTTTCTTTGCTCATTTAGCACCCCCTCCCCCAAGGAAGGAAAAGTGGAAGTTTTTTTTTTGGGGGGGGTGGAGAAGAAACAAGGAAGGTCCACAGAAATGAGGGGAAACTGCCTAGGGCCACACAAGTTTCTGGAGGAACCAGAAATAGAAGTCAAGGGCACCTGGTTCATTACTCCAACCACTAACTATGCAGCTGTCCCCAGGAGTCCACCAATTAGGGAAAACAGCTCTCACTTACTAATGGGCGGTTAACTTTACAAGTGAAGTGCTTTTTCACAAATGAGCAACAATGTGGCTGTGAGAAAGCAGCATCAAATCAAGTTTTTTCTCTCCTACACCATTTCTTTGCTTTTCTTTAACATTGTAAATAATAATATGTGTTACTTTCTTTCTTTCTGGTTTTTTTTTTTTTTTTTTGAGACCTAGCTCCATCCAGGCATCTACAAGGCAACTGTCCATAATCAGCAGCTTTAGTCAAAGACTAAGAGGCAATAGTAACCATGATTAAGAACAGCCTGATGACTGGGTTTGCATGGGAAATAAATGCTTAAGAGGTCTGGCATGGTGGCTCTTGCTTGTGAGCTGGTCACTCAGAAGGCTGAGGCAAGAGGATCAGCCCCAGATATATTGTAGTAATGGAATGAATTAAGAGACCCCCCCAAAACGTAGAGAAACCATCAGTAAGGCATTTTACTAAAATAGTGTTTGTCACAATCAATGGAACCCTGAGGATCAAGATAAGAGTTCTCCATCTTTGACCTAGCCTTCCCATGGTTACAGGTCCACTGCTTTCCCATTCTGGACCTGAGTGTCCTCATGTGTGAAACTGAGATGGGAAACATTTATCCACAGAGACAAACAAACGTGACTCATAACTATTTGTTTTGAGCCCTGAATGTGATGGGGTGCTCTGTAAATCCTTAATGAGTAGGGGCCTCCTGGGCCCTGGCTCCTATTAGCTGGTTCACTAGATTCCCATATCCTGTGCCTGGCTGAGGCTGTGGCAGAGGAAGGGGCCTCAGCTCCACTTCCTCTCCAGGCAGCATTTATGAAGCATTGTGGGATGGCAAGTAGAGTAGCAGGCAGGCTGTCAGGATGGTGTAGAAATAAAGACTTGAGAGGAAGCTCGGTCTAGTGGCTCTGATTCTTGCCCAGGACTTTAGGGAGCCTTGTCTTCCTCCTGTCCCTGAGGCTGAGTCATGGAGCCCCTGAATGACCTCCTTATGAGTAACTTCCTGCTTCATCCAGAGGGACCATTATATGGAATCCCATCAGCCATCTGTTCCTCCTCCTCCTTTCACAGATGAAGCTGCTCCGGTGGATGGAGACTAGGAGCTGCCAGAGGTTAAGTATGTGATTGATGTTGGGACC